TCGATATTGGTTCGTGCTAGGGGTACAGATCTCTCTCATCTTAAATATAAATAAAAAATATGATATGCGAATGTGTGAGCGATGTTTATATTACAGTCAAAAGGCATAAACATTAAAACCACATTTGAATGCAAAAATCAGTAAAATGTAGTTATACTATTATATGCCGGCGGAATCTCGACAACTCCTGTACATATAGTATCGTCACCAACAAAATGAGTAAAATTACATTATTTCAGTTTTCCATATTATTAATAGTGTGCGGTCTTATTATCTTGTATCAATTCAGTTATCGATTGAATTGATACAAGAGTTAATAAGACCGCAAAAAGTCGTATATTCATCTCAGTAAAATTGAAAAAAAAATCCTTTTTGAACGTAATAATTGAATTTCTAATGCCGTTTAATTGCAAAATATAATATTTTTCAGTTAAATTTAAGCAATTTTAATTAAAAAATCCTTCATATATTTCCCGGTAAATGTCGAACAGCATACTATCGTAACTTTACACAGTTTGAAAATAACTATTTACTAATATCGATGTAAGTTATTGTAAGTACACCATACGAATTTTCACAGTTCACTTCAATACTGTTATTTTCCAAGGTCAAAAATTTTTTCAAGTAATATTATCAAAGGTTACATTATTCCAATCATAAATATGCATACGTATGCTAATTTTGGTTGTCGTACAAGAATAGTTGCACTCATGGGAACGAAAATGTACTTGCGAATTTTAAAATTGCTATAATATCTTAGATCTTAATCTTACTGTAATATTGATGGAATACACTTACGATATTATACGTAGGAGTGATCGATCTACTTCGAATAATTTCCAAATTAAAAATTGAAAGCCTACGTACGAAAAAAAAATTTAAGCGATGTTAAAAACTTTCAAAGTCTGTATAAGTGTTTCCTTTCTTTCAAGTTAAAACCACAGTCACAAAGACATTTGACCGAGTGACCTGAGTAATGAGTGACTCAGGCCCTAATGAGTCGCCGTTATAATGCAGTCAGCCACTATGTGGTTAATCGGATTCCGGTCATTAATGCAAGAATGCCGTGTTGGTCCACGTTTGACGTGCACTTTGGGGTTGTTAACGATAATATGAAATATTATGTTTAAAGAGAAAATCCGTGTTTTTGTCGTTAGGTGAACTACTTTTGCTTAAAATTATAGTGGAATAAAAACAAGTAAAATATGTACACTGAAACATTACCTTGAGTATTAGCTGTCGTGTTAAAAAAATAAATAAAATTTGTCAGTAATAATTTATAAAAATCGTTATTTTGAATACATATTTAAAATCTATATTTATATATTTTACTGTATTTTTTATATTAAAAGGGTGGCAATCAAGCATATGACCCGACTGATGGTAAGCGGCCGCCATAGTATAAAGGCGCTTCATCATCATCATCAACCTATTAATGTCACCACTGCTGGGGCACAGGCCTTCCCTATGGATGGAATATGGAGATTGGACTATGACCCACCACGTGGGCCCAGTGCGGATCATCATCAGCCTATTAATGTCCTCACTGCTGGGGCACAAGCCTTCCTTATGAATAGAATAGGGAGATTGGGCCAAGACCCACCACGCAGGCCCAGGATTGGCGGGTGCTAACGTCTGCAGATGCAACCGGGATCGACGGCTTAACGTGCCTTCTGAAGCATGGAGTAACACATATAAGTATATTTATATAGTAATACATATTAAACATCCATGACTCGAGTACAAATGCTCGTATTCATCATCAAACATCTGCCCCCACCGGGATTCGAACCCCGGACCTATCGAGTCGGCGACACCATGAAACTCGGCGTACTAACCACTCGGCCACGGAGGTCGTCAAATACAGGGGATTGGGTCAGGTTAGCGAGTGATGTTTTAGGTATCGCAAGCTCTTTTTAATTCGCCAAACCGCACTGGAGGAGGAGCGTGAGGAGCTTGATGGCGCAAGCGGCTAGCGCTTTGATCGTTGAAGTTACGCAAATGTCGCAGTGGTCGGTCATTGGACGGGTTACCAAAAATTTACTACCTCCAGCTCCTCCGTCCTTAGGAAGGCACGTTAAGGCGTTGGTCGCAACTGCATCTGCAGTCGCTAGCACCCACCAATCCACACTAGGCCCGCGCGGTCGCGTGATGGATCATCATGCCCCAATCACCCTATCCCATCCATTGGGAAAGCCTGTGCCCCAGCAGTGCGGACATTAATAGACTAATGATGATTATTCGTACTCTGAAACCTTGCTTCAGGGTCTTAAGTGTCAATTTATTTACTGTTTCCAAGCTACACGTTCGGTGAATGTTTCACATAAAAAAAACAGCTCAATACAGGATGTTACAAAAATACAAATAAAGCTTGAAGGGCGTTGAAGTACATCATATTAGGAGTCTTCTCTAATATACTTAAAATATTTGCATTTAGTTTTAACTTTTTTTAAAAACAGCTATTTTTAATGATTCATAAAAATAATGATCATTTTAAGTCATGTCACTAGTTCGAGGATCATTAAAAAAAACTGTTTTTATAAAAAGTGAAAACTTCATGCAAGTATTTTAAGAAAATTAGAGAAGACTCCTTATATGATGTACTTCAACGCCCTTCAAGCTTTATTTGTATTTTTGTAACATCCTGTATAAGAAGGTATAATGTTTCAACTTTCGTAATAGGTACTTCGTTCGTAACCAGAATTACCTTATGAAAAACTTTTTTCATTCCCTTGATTTACCTTTTGCATTTTACTGTCATCCAGGGGTAAGCTTAAGGGGTGGCCAATTGCCTTTTATCAAGCAGAACTTTTATATTCACTAAACCTTCAGCTTTTTCAGCTCAGGGAAAAGTATAGGTATAAATATAAATTGACGTTTGTTGTTTCGAAATTGTTTAATACTATGACCTGGCTACCTTTCAGTATATACAAAACTTGTTGTTTCGCTTTATAGGTAAGCCACAATGTCAAACGAATTACATATGCATAGCCTTTTGTTGTGTAATCTGAGTTTACAACTAATAAATCATTTCAAAGAATAAGTAGTTTAATATAATTTTATTTTACGCGTTAAACAGCTTGATTTTACTACAAAAACGGCCAAATGCGAGTTTGACTCGCGCACAAAGGGTTCCGTGCAATAAACCACGAAAGGAAAAATCATTTGGTTGTTTTCGTCAGAACTTACAAAGTACACAATGAATCGGTGTTTTCAGTATTTATTGTATAAATACAGCATATTGGACAGCATACACCAAATTTTCACATTCCTGAGTAGTGTCGATTTTGAGATAGATCCCGTAACAAAATTCGTCTAAAAATTACAACTATGACGGCCCCCAATTCTAATAAAAATTAAATTATATTCATATCCTGCTCAACAAGATCTAGACAATGTCACATGCTGGGGTCAAAAAGAAAAAAAAGTATTTGATTCATTTTCAGACCCCCCCCCCACCCCCACACACACACACACAACAAAAAAATAATTGAATTATTAAATAAAGTTTCGGCTTTGATCAAGCATTCTTCACAAAATACCAAAATTTTATTTCATGTAACTCATTCCGTTTACGAGCTAGAGACCTGAGACATAGAGACAGACAGACGACAGAGTAACAGCAATGGGGGTTCCATTGTTGTTCTTGGGTAAGGAACCCTAATAAAACACTAAAGCGCGTTGTTTGATACATAGTTAAAGATAAACTATAGTTAAAATTATATAGAAAAAGTAACCATTTGTTGAAAAAACTTACACATATTCTATGTATTTGACGTCACATTGACTAATAGTCAAATTTAACTATGTATCAAAGAACTCGGCCTATACCCAAGTTTCAGGATTCAAACCTACGAATGTATTAACACATCGCGCAATTTTATGAAAGTTTGTCACTAAGCTATTAAGTAAGCTGTGCCTTATGTTTCTTTTTAATCTACAGAAAATTTTAGTAGAAAAAAATCCTCTCTGTCCAGTTTTCAGCTGGGATTAAAATTTGTACCGAGTAGAATTTTCTGTGGCAAAATTTTCTTTAGATTTATACATGCAGCAGTTAAATGCTTAACAAATAAAAAATAATAGTTATAATTTTTATGTTTTAAGCATATTACTGCTCGATGTTCAAATCTAAAGAAAAAATTACACGCGTACCAGGAAGCAGACGGGACTGGAACCCGTACCATTCGCTATCCGGGCGAATGCACTGACCATTATGCTACCGCGGCACTGATAACTGTGTCGAATTCTTTCTTGCCTCTCTTAAGCTGAAAGGCAGCGCCATCACTACGCATTGTAGATAACCTACAATGTCAAATGAATACCTTTACAAGTATTAAACAGTTGAAAGAAGAAATAGCAATTGGGTACAATATAATAAAATAGTGTTTCTTTTAACTCTCCTAAAATCAATAGTCTTAGGTAGCATCCTAAGCAACAAGCGAAAGATAAAAAATATATCGAAAAACCCAACGTCTCGTAAATGGCTTTCCCGTCGTTTATTGTTAAATTTAACAACAGATTTGAGGATTACCCGGCAATAGAAGAATCGTAAAATCCTTTATTAATCTTTATTGCTTTCTTCTATTTACGATTTTACGGTCGCAATAAACATTAATATTATATGTGTGGAGTCAGATATTAGACACATAAGGGCTATTATCGTTCGCTAGAAGTTTATAAATAAAAACCTATAGAGATGTAGTTTTAGAAAATAATAATAAAACAATTGATAGTTATTGGAGTATTGATACTATCTTTTCTTGTCCTTCTATAACTTAAAGTAACAAAATAATCTTGTATAAAGCAATCATGCTTTATAGGAATTTGTATAAAATTTTTGTTAAATGTATTTTAAGAACAGCATCCCAAAAATTCGTTTTGTATTCCAATGAAATTGCTCGTATGAAGAATTATTAAAAAGCTGAGGAAAAATCTGCAATGAGATAATTAACATATTTTTTGTATCTTTTACAGAATTCAAAGTCGAAAACTATCCAACGATGGTTTATTTCCACGGAGGTGACTTCTTACGAGGAAGTCCGAACAACATCAACCCGTTCCAGATGGTACTGAAACAAAAAGTAAGTGATATTTATAAAGCACACACACACACACACATCATCATCATCATCAGCCTATTACTGTCCCCACTGCAGGAGCACAGGCACTATGGATGAAAATAGGGAGACTGGGCCGTGGCCCAGTGCGGATTGGTGGGTGCTAACGACTGCAGATGCAGCCGGGACCAACGGCTCAACGTGCCTTCCGAAGCACGGAGGAGCTCGAGATAGTAATTTTTGGTCACCCATCCAATGACCGACCACTGCGAAAGTTGCTTACGTTCAACGATCGCAGCCGAACGCGCCAACCACTTGCGCCATCGAGCTCCTCACACACACTGCTCAGATATTAAATGCAAAATAGTAATGCTAATTTGTTTCACAGGTCATCTTTGTCACCGTTGCTTACCGCTTGAACATTTTCGGATTCTTCTCAACTTTAGACAATGAAGCTCCAGGTAACTACGGATTGCTGGATCAAGTAGCTGCCTTAACTTGGGTCAAAAACAATATAGAAAACTTCGGAGGTGACCCAGAGAACGTTTGCATTTTCGGCCATGACGCCGGTGCTGTTAGTGTCGGTCTTCATCTTATCTCGTCTTATTCCTCTGGACTCTTCCAAAAAGCTATAGCGATGAGTGGAAACGTTTTATCACCAGGCACTGTGAGTATAGCTCGGAAAGAATTAGCTACAGTTGAAAAAGTAGCGAATGCATTCAGCTGTTTTCGAAAACCAACATTCCAGCTTCTAGACTGCCTCAGAAGAGTCAACTACCAAGCACTTTTAGATATCGGAGAACCTCTGGCAGAGTGGAAACCAATGGTAGATACCGGATTGAGTAATGTATCGACACCATTTTTACCTGATCTGCCAAGTAAAATGTTCAACGATGATTATTTTTCACCCGTACCAGTTTTGACTGGTTACACGAATATGGAAGATGCTCTGTTACTACAGAAAGAAGGTGAAGATTCCGGCATAAGTCCTAGAGAATTTGATGTGATGCGAGAAGAGGTTATACTATCCGACATCACGGTCGATAACAGCTCATGTTTTACAAACCAGCACCATATTCAGGATGCCGTTGCGTTTTTCTACAAACCAATACCGCCTACGACAAATGAAACTATTTTACGAAAACAATTTTTAGATTTTTACACTGACAAGGTTCACGGGGCCACTACGTACCAACTAGCCAAACACATAAGCAAGCATGCTCCAGTTTATCTCTATCGTTTTGACCTAAAACCTTTTTCAGAAATCGCTAACGAAGGTATCCCAGAATGGATAGATGTGCCGCACAACTTTGATTTAATTTTTATCTTCGGCTTACCGTATTTAGCTTTACCGCAGGATTATCCCAAATGGGACTATCGAGACAAGAGCGTTTGTGAAATAATGATGAGAATGTGGTCCAATTTCGCGTGGTATGGTAATCCGACAAATTCCGGTGTAATTATAGAATGGGATCCGTTCGAAATTGAAAAGCCGGGTTATTTGATAATCGACCGTCAAAATTTTTCAATGAGCACACCAGAGAGAATGAATTACAGAGCTTTTGAATTTTGGACAGACTTTTACCCAAAAGTTGTGCAAATTGGTACAAAATGCTGCAAAGAGGGTGTGGAGGATTCTGGCGCAGATTCAATTATGACGACAAGGCTTATAAGTAGTTTATTGACTTTATATTTCATTTTGATCTTAGTCTCGTAAAAAAGTATCGTTTTAAGATGCTGTTAAAAGTTTTATCGTTATTTTTATATAGTTTATTAGTACAGAGGTGTAAATTATTTATGAAGAAATATTAGTGGAAGCAAAGTTGATTTATGGTTATGGACGAAGCTATATTTACCTTTGTACAAATGCAGTAAGTAAATAAAGTTTCTACTAATCATTGTTAATTGTCTTTATTTTTATCGGTTACTCGCGGCCGCCCGCGATTGCGGCCGCGTTAACTTTAGTTTTTTGAAAATCTCTCAGATACCCAAAATTTTATCGCGATAAAAAGTATCCTATATCTCAAATCAGGTAAAAAAATATATGTGTGCCAAACTTCATCCAAATTCATTCAGCCGTCTTTGCGTGATTGAGTAACAGACAAACCCACTTTCGAATTTATATTTATTATTATTATTAATAAGTTAGGATTAGGATTAGATTTTTTTCCTATAATTAAAACATTGATTTTATGTGATGTATACGAGCATTAGTACTCCAGTCATGGATGTTCAATAGGTATTTCTTTGTAAATCTTATATGTGTATATAAAATGCTCGTGTCACAATGTTAGTTACCATACTCCTCCGAAACGGCCTCACCGATTTTTATGAAATTTTATATGCATATTCCGTGGGTCTGAGAATCGGCTACTATCTATTTTTCATATCCTTAAGTGATAATGGTTGACCACCTGTAACGTAGTGTTCTGAAACCTGCTTTTGCACCTTCGCGCCAAAATTCAAACTATTGGGTATTGTAACGTAGTGTGAGAACACTACAACATTCCTCCTAACCCATATGAGACATATGGGTTAGGAGGAATGTTATTTTGGCCCATATTATTTTTTTTATAATGTGGTATTAAAAAAATAAATACAACCCTAAATTTTCTCTTCTAACACCTGTCCCTATATTTATGGCGGTACGAAGTTCGCTGGGTCAGCTCGTAAACTTATATATGTATCAATATATGTATTCTATCCGTTACCCTCGTATCCCACAACACAAGCCTATAGAGTTAACTTATGAGCTAGGCTAATTGGTGTGAGAATTGCAAATAATTATTATTTAGCTGTGACCGCGGTGTTACACGCGGTTTATTAGGGATATTTCCCGCAGTAAACGTAGCCTATGTGCTAATCCAGGGTGTCAGCTAACTCCATACCAAATTTTATTAAAATAGCTCCAGCAGTTTAGACGTGAAGAAGTAACAAACATAAACACTCAGAAACTTTCGCCTTTATAATATTAGTGTAATTATTGCTCAAATATTTACTAACAAGTTTAAAGCTACGAAGCACTAAAAACTTTAGATTTGGTTCCTTATTTTGACCAATAGTTAAATTATTGTATAATTATCAGTTATGAGTCGAATCAGGAGTCTTTTAAACAAAATTATAATAATAACAAATATAAGTTGATTGTAAAATAATTTTAATAATATATCCAGTAGTTTTCATAAGCACTCATTTAAAAGCAGAAATTAATGCATCTTATACATACAGCTAAACAACTTGCAGCTGTTTTATTTTTTGCAACTACTACTATTTAAATATATAATTCCCTCCATGTTTATAGTACCTGAATGTAAGGTTATAATTAACAAAATATAATTACGCCGGAATATTCCTCAAAAAATATATACTTAACGCCCAATTTTTCACAAGATTACGTGTCCTTCGTTTTGAAGTCAAGGCCTATTGGTCACGCATGACCTTCGACCTCGTCACCAAAATCTGCGTGACGTTCATTTTTTATACATTCAGTCACGATATACTTTTGGCAGCTCTTTAAGTGGTTTCTTAGGAAAATACTGTAAGGGTCACTTAATAATTCAGGTACAAGTTTAACTGATTGTTTTGTTTTTACCAACGTTTTCTAGTGAAACAGTTACCTACAGTTAGCTAATGGTTATATAAGTCTTTCCTTCCAATTGTATTCCTTGAATTAATTATTTATCTTCAAAGCTCTTTTTTATAAGAACTTGGATTGTAGCATGATTTTATCATGCTACACTTCAAGTTTTACTTAAAGAACTGCTAAGCAAAAAGATAAGTTGTTATGTTATTGATAGTTTGAAGATACATTTTTGTTTTAAGCATTTAACTGCTACATGTTTATATCAAAAGAAAATTTTACTAGTGAAAATTCCATACGGGCGAGGCTTCAGACGATATTCGAACCCGAATATTATGGGTTACCTACAATACGAAGTGATGCGCTTCCTTGCTGCTTAAGAAATACTAGAGGAAATTCGACACGGCCATTAAGATCTCGGTTGCATCCGCCAGGATAGTGGAAGATGTGGGTTGGAATTCGGTCTCAAGAAAAAAGTCTTTGTTTGTCCGTTTGTAAGATGGTTCTATTCACAGACATATATCGAAATAGATATCGCAAATGTATGTACTCTCGGCCCAAAAACACGCCAAAAGGAAGACCAAAGGTCTAACATTTTCGCTACTTTATTTCTTTTTATCACTGTTCTCGATACGGATGCCAATCGTATTTTAATTAAATGTCTAATTGTGCTGTCATATAAACCACTAAAACTTTTTTTATTATTATTTTTTATTATAGATTCATTTGCATTCTTGGATTTCTTTATGCCTAAAGGTTGACTGGCAGAGAATGCTTTTAGGTTTAAGTCCGCCTTTTGTCCATTTTTGTAACTGTGGCAATAAAGCTTACATAAATAAATAAACAAAAAGCGAAAAAATTGAATCGGATTGCTGGTGTCCATGATATTCTATCACTTACGTAGTGTCGCCGCACACGGGCCACACGCCACAGCTACAAACGCCACCACGAGAAGCTTCTCGTCGAGAGCCGCTTCTAGCTAGAAGCGGCTACTAAAGTGGCTGAAGCGCGCGACAGCGGCCGACTAAGGTAAGGGAGAGAGGGGTGGGGAATCGCGCGAGTGACGTGTGGCGGCGTTTTGTATTGGCGCATTAAGTGGCCGGTGCGGCCCACAAGAAACGAGCAACGACGATTTGTAGCGTGTGGCGGCCACCGGCGTACCGTGTGTGGCGAGCTCATATCAAATGTATGAAAACTACAAGAAATATGCCGGTGGTGGCGTTTTGTGGTTATGGTCGATGGCCCATGTACGGCGACACTTAAGAGCGGACGCAAGCTGAGATACATTTGAGAAATGGCTATTTGTAAAAACATTTGCTGTCGCAGTGAACGCTGTAAATTGCGTATAAAAATTTCAACATTCGAGATTTGGCTCTCGATGATTTCCCCCTAGAAAATTAGATAGGTTTATATAAAATAAATTTTACCCATACAATAATAAGCGGCTATACTAGGCCTACATGTTTTGTTTTTTGTAAATGCTAATTGAATCTCGCCAGAAGACGTCTTTAGTGGTAATAAAGATTTGTTTATTTACGGCATTTTTGAGGGTTTTTAGATTCTTTGAAGCACATGTTATCGAAAAAGGGATAACATAGGAGCGTAGATTGAGAAAATTAAATTTATGTATTACATATCGTAACTTAACAATAATATAATTAAATAAAACTAGTTTTTACGGGTTAATGCACGAAACTTTATTTATTTATTGACGTTTCGCAGCCTTTTCAGGTCTGCATCGTCAGAATAATGATTTTTTATTTAATTTTATTTTGTAAAAACTAGTTTTATTTAACCTAAGAAACAAATAATATAATTAACAAATATACTATTATCTAATACAAGCTAAAAACAAGAAAAAAAGAAAAACAAGTATAACAACGAACCTAAAACTAAAAACCTTAAAAAATAAAATATAATAACTAAAATACATTAATAAAAGAAGTCCCTTTAGGCAAGGTTCCGAAGATACTGGCAGCGAGCTGCCAGCTCTTGTCTCCTGTGATGTCGACTATAGAAATTCGGATTCGAGTTTTTTTCATTATTAATTTGCATTTTCTGAGAACATTTATTATAGTAGTGTATATTTTTTTATAGCATCAGAAAGTAGAGATTTCAACAAACAAAAAACACCCCAACTTTTTTTAAAAAAGCAGATATTTTGACGTGAGAATTTTCGATTGAAAATTAGGGTGCTTTTTGGATATTGAATCAAAATAAGGTGAAAAAATAAATATTTTAAATCAAAAAAATTACTGTATATTTGGAACATACAAAGGTAAGTTTTCACCAAATTTCGTGAAAAAATATTTTTTTTGCAAAAAATAAAAATCAAAAACCAAAAACTCGGTTATTCGCATTTTTCACATAAATTTTGAGGTTATGTGAAAAAAGTGTCGATACAAAAGTTGTAGATGTTTTTATTACCTACAACTTTGCCATTTAACTTTTTTTCATAGGACTTGCAGTTTTACCGGAAATCGAGATTAACCATTTTTTACCCTTAAAGACTCACCCCCTCCCCCTTCCCGACCTCAGATTGCCCGTAATTTCCTTTCATTTTTGTTATATTCTCTACCTTTTCTAATGGGTTTCATCCTACTATATTTTTTTTTCACTTTTCACCATTTTTAAAATTATCGACCCTGGTCTAACGGGCCTGAGATTGGTAGAAACTTTTAGGTATATTTCTAACGTCACTTTAACAATAAATAAAAAAATATTGTCTAAGAATGAAGGAGGCTGCTTTAACATTCCAAAAGATGCAGTTACTATATTCCAAATGTTAATAGGTAACCTCGAACGATGATGGTACGGAACCTTTCGTATGCGAATCGCATTTCGGTGATTTTTAAATTTGCCATAAATCAAGTTGACATCCAATTTGAAAACAGGAAAGTGCCTTTAGAAAAGGATATTTAAAAGCATTTTACTGCATCACGCGTTGGCTCAAAATAAAAATAAAAACAAATGTAACAGCTATTGTACAATACAACATACAAAATCTTATATATAAAATTCTCGTGTCACAATGTTAGTTACCAT